TCTAAAGGTTTTGGGTATTGTTGGTGTAAAATCCGTAAAATTTATTTTTGCCAAATATAAAAATAAAAGAATATATCATCATTACAATATTAATATTGAGTAGAAATACATATATCATATATTTATATAATATAAGAGTTGATATATCGGAGTTGTATATTATTGAGTAGAAATACATATATCCTATATTTATATAATATAAGAGTTGATATATCGGAGTTGTACATTATTTCAGAACTAAATTCATATTTTTATTAAATTATCCAAAACCTGAATCTTACTCAATTAAGTATAATCAATATTCTTGGCCAATGAGGTTTTGCCATGAAACAGCCTCAGAAGGGACCTCGGTTTTGTTTGGTCTGGTTTGGTTATAATAATGATAAAACAAAACAAAAATAATTCGAGGATTTTCACAAAAAATTTCGCGGATTTTCAAAATTTTAAAAAATTTAATGACGATCGAATTTTGATGGAGACAAATATTTGAAATTTTGATGATTCATAAACCTTCCCTGGAGTCCCTAGATGTCCCACAAAAAATTTGGGCCCGATCGGTTCAGCCGTTTTGACGTTTATTGGATACAAACAAACAAACAAACAAACAGACAAACAGACAGACAGACAAGCCAAATTTATATATAGATATATATACAAATTGCTCCCAAACGAGTAAAAAGAACGCAATCTTTCGCTGCGAGAGTTGTTGATATCCGTCAGGTGGTCATATCTGCTTAACCAGATGTCGGTTTCAGATGTTTTTGAAACCACAGGTTTGTGTGGAGTACCGGAATCGAAGCCGTAAACACCAGTCTGGACACCAATCCAGTTACTGGCTGTGGACACTCCCCACCCCGCCCCACAAAATAAATAATAATAATGATAATAATAATAATTATGATAGTAATATCGATAAAAATGATAATTATATTAATGATAATGATAATGATAAAAGAATAATGATAATATTTATAATAATAATCATAATAATACAAAAAGTAATAATAAATATAATAGTGTAATGTTTATTATGATCTATTTAGTTTTAGAAAGGAATAAAGTCTTAACCATAAACCTTTCTTTCTTTGCAACCCAATGTCCTAAACCTTAGCTACTTCAAATCAAGACGTCTGCTAGATCAAATAGTCTAAGTTTTAAATATTAAAGGTTTACACAATCAGATTGCGAAGATATAGGGATTTGAAAATTTGAAATTGTTGCAAAGAGTAAAAACTGTATTCTATATTCTTGGCCAATTATTAATTACTTGCTTTGCGAAAATTATATAAGAATATTAATAATTGAAAGAAAATCAGATATAATTATTTCATTATTTAATCTTTCTCTCAAACTTTACATACATTGACTTTTTACTATTAACTTTATTTCATTTTACAGAAAATCTGAATAATAACCTAATTGTTCAAAGATTTCAGTAAAATGTGAAATAAAATGATTTTTAAGGAATGTGAGAACAACTTCAGCCTTAGGCTGTCTTGAAAGGCAAAAAAACTATGAGGGTTTGAACACACAATTTGACGTTTTCAAAGTTGTTGATTTTTGGAACTAAAGGAAATATCGGCGGGAGACAACCTATAACAATATTGGTGTAGTGCACAATTTGTAAAAAAGATTCTGTTTGAAAAAAATCCTAATAAAAGAGTTTATCCACGGCATGATATCAAGAGCTAAATATTATTATAAAGAATTGACGAAATATTGTTATGATTATCATAAGTATTGTTCTTCGATATCCGAAAAGTAACAATCAATTCATTGAATGTTGTTGGCGTATGTTAGGATTTAAAAAGAAAATTATGACATTACTTGGTAAACTAAACCAACAGTGCCTGTTTGAAATGAAAAATGTTGGCAATGACAGACGTTGTAATACACATAAATCGAGAATTGCCGTAGTTATAGTTCCATTAAATCCTATTAAATCCTAATGTATGCGAACTTTGCTCGTAGCAATCTGAAGAAGTGATAAGTAATGAATGAGTTGTGATTGTTAAACACATTTCGAAAATGTAAATAATACTCTTTTTTAATAAAAGCCGACTCATATTATCAAATCTAAATTTCTTTATAACCTAATAGTGCAATTTGAATATTTCAACATATATAATTATACATAACAGAATACATACATTGAAATAACTAAGGTCTGCGACATTATTAGGTTGCAAAAATATGTGGACTAAAAAATCAGAATTTTGGTCAAAGCCTCAATTCTTTTCTAGAACTTGATCATGAAGATTTAAATTATTCGAATCGCTTTGTCAAAAGCTACAGAAATCTCGTAAAAAAAATCACCGAACCTCGTTGTCAAAACTAAGCAAAGATTGATTTTTTAATGTAGTATATTCTTAGCCCAAACAAACCAACCTCCTGCATAGACATTAAACTTAAAGATTTATCAAAACATCTAGTTTTTACATTTAATCCTCCATATTGGTTTATAAATGTTTAATCTAAAGAAATAAAGGTTATTTTCATACAACTTTTCTTACAACTAAGACAACCTAGTGTCCGTTTTCAGAACTACAATGAATAATATTAATTATTATATTTCCATTAAATAAAAAATAATCAAATAGCTTAAAATTGAAAAACACATACGATTTATCAAATTGGGAACATTTTTTGCCTCGAAATCTCAGGGGGGGGCTACGCCCCTCCCTGAATCTGTCAGGGGGTGGCGAATGTCCCCCCGCCACCCCCCTGTGTCCGCCCCTGCCAGTAATTATATTTTACAATTCAACGGGAAAAATTCATGGCATCTAAAAACAGCTTTGAAACAATAATTAATTTAATATTTGATTTCCTGGGGTTTTCACCCCTAACAACCAACGTAAAAGAAAAATTTAAGCTCTTTGTAAAGTTCCTGTTTCCTACAATTATAAATGTCGTCGTAAAATTGCTATTATTTCTAATCTTTATTTTCTGTTCGAATTGGAATAAGAAATAATTTACATGTTTCCCTCGCTTCGTCATTTGGTTCTAAATCATTGGCTACAAGTCCTTCACATCTATAATTATGTGTCCAGGGAAAATGTCATGTGTCCTACGCATCATTTGTCCTACACTTTATTAGAAAAATATATTACTTGATGTAGAATTCTAAAAGTAACAAGTCAAAATCTAAGATTCTTGTACATTATAGCAAACTGATACTAAAAGTTCATCGCGGAGAAAAATAGGTATCCTGCCTCTCTATAGGACAAACGATTATAGAATTTTACCATTTCATACTTCTTAAAAACTAGCGTTAAAGGGACAGTCCGGCTATGTAAGGTAGTTGAACTGAGTATGCAGTGTTTAGGATTCATTCTTTAGGATTCATTTGAGACATATCTGTACATGATGAGTTTTAGCGCAACTTAATTTACAGGTCTTTAAAAAGTTTTATATGTCTCAAGTAAATCCTAAAGAATTTGTTCACAACACTGCATACTCAGTTCAACTACCTTACATAGCCGGTCTGTCCCTTTAAAAACAAGTGATTTGTGTTCATGTCTAGGACTCCTCCAAAGAAGTATAAATGAGTTAGTTAGAATTGAAGAGGGTATTTTCTCCCCTCTTCTATTCAGCTCTTTTCACCCTCTTCTTGCTTTCATACACCACGCAGAGGCAAATCATTTTACCAAAATAAATTTTCCTTACTCATATTGTCGCCATAACTCTACGAAAACTCATTAATTTTGTACTACAGACTAGAGTCACTAGAGTGAAATCTATAATTTATGATTGTATATAAAAGGAACTGAGTTTTTGTCACAAACTCAAATTTTCTAATCCCGATATCTTTTCATACTGATAGTGTAAACATATGATATTTCAAACTTAGATTATTGGGTCTGATAGAACTCATCAAAGGCTTACGTCATCAGTTTGCAAAGATTTAGGAATTAGAAAATTTAAGTTTGTGGCAAAAACTCCGTTGGGAAGTAAAAGTGCAGGAATACCTGATAGCAAGGAACCAATTTCTGCCAGTGATTAGTTTGAAAATAACTTGTTCTAAAGTAAATAAGTTTATTCTTACTTTGCCATGTATCTGTTTTGATATTTGATATAAAAAAGGATTTGATTTATATCTTTATAGTATATATGACATATAGAGATGTATAAAGCAACAGCTGATTTCTATTCAGAACGAGCAAGGGAATTTTAATTCATTTAAACTATTAAATATTTCTTGATTTTTTAAAATGTTAAATTCTTTTAAATCATAAGATTGTAATCAAAAGACTTTTAAAAATTGATTCAGATAAAATTTTAGAAAATCGACCAATTTATCATTTACATTATCCTTTTTTATCCATTTAAAACTTATTAGACTGTTAAAAACATTTTTTTATAAAAATATCGTTGTCATATACATTACTCCAACATGAAGTTTTACATCTTATTTCTGTAAGTTTTCTATAATTATAGAAGAATTTTCATTTGTTCAAACAAACCCAATATGTTAAGTTTTCTTCTATAGGATAAGTGGTAACTTACACTTTCAAGTAATTTCAAGTTACTCTCTATTTGTACATTGTTATATTTGATTTACAATAATGAAGAATGAATGAGTTTTCTATGTCAGGAGACATCTGTATTCAGCTCAGCCTATTCATGTATCGAGAGCAGTCTGTGTAGTCTGTGATTGGTACACTCTATTCCTGTTACTGGTACACTATTCTTGCCTTGTTACAAACTAAAGCTAGCAAAACGACAATATCTTCCACTACTCAGCCTATTCATGTATCGAGAGCAGTCTGTGTAGTCTGTGATTGGTACACTCTATTCCTGTTACTGGTACACTATTCTTGCCTTGTTACAAACTAAAGCTAGCAAAACGACAATATCTTCCACTACCATGATATAAAAGAAATATGCAAAGTGTATCTTTTCTAATTCGGACTTTCTTCTCTTTTTATAAAACCACTTGAAAATACAATCACAGTATCTTTGAAAAGGTTACAAGCAAAATATGCATTTCTTTCAGATTTTATTAGAATGGAAAATTCTCTGAAAAAGAAATAATCTATTTTGCAAGATGCGTTGACAAGAATATTAGTTCGTTGATACAAGATCGTTGCTAAGATGGGGACCAGGGCTGCTGCATTCTCCGCTAAAATTAAATCTCTACGAGAACTTCAGACAAAGGTATTATCATTATCAGGGTTCTCATTTCTTTAATAAAGTCTGTCAGGGTGTTTGTGTGTCTGAAATCATGAACCCTATGGCCGATTTGCCTTTAATTTCTAATGGGGTAACTCGGTAGAACCACTATAATGTTTGAACGGGAAAATAATCTCCAGACAAGGCTGGGTTTTCTAGCTATTGACATAATTGTTTTATTTTGAAATTTTCTATTTTTTAAGCACATTTTTTAATACTTTCATACTGTGAGGCCCCGAAAAATATGTTTTCATTTTTTAACATTTTCTTAAATTTAGATCAGTCAAAATGTGTTACCAGTTCCAACTGGACTAGATCTGTCTAACAGCTACAGGTGAGGGTTTAAAGCTAAACATAATTGAAGTATATTTCACATTAGATCGAAATTCTTGTTTAATAAAACTACTCTTTTTGAATTGGTATTGAAAACAACAAAAATGTTTAAACTTCTATTATGTAAGTAACCAAAATGTTTAGAAATTTCATACTTTTACGTAAAAAAATCAAAACGAAAGGAGCCACGAGATCACAAAGTGATACCAGTAATGCCTCCCACAAAGGAACTCAGTTTTTGCCACAAACTCAAATTTTTTTTTTTATTCTACATCTTTGCAACCTGACGGTCTAAACCTTGGATATTTTAAACATCATTTAATCAAACATAAACAACAATAGTTTGAAATATAATAAGGCTACGACATTGAGTTGCAAAGACACGGGAATTAGAAAATCTCAGTTTTAGTTGATCGCAAAATATATTGCAAGCGTATTCTTCTAATGGATTAAATATATTGCAAGCGTATTCTTCTAATGGATTAAATAAAAAAATTACCGAAAAATTTGTAATTCTTATTTTTTAAAATTTTTTTTTATATAAAACCTTTCAACTTCTGTTCAGATGGTTCTCCACTACTCTGCTATCTATACTCAGAGATGTACCAGGACTTCCTTATCTTATGATACGAGACAACAGTAGGACTATTATTATTATTATTATTATTATTATTGTTAATAATATTATTATAATTATTATTTTTATTATTATTATTATTATTATTATTATTATTATTATTAT